GCCCGGCCGCCCGTGCGGCTCTCGCCCTCCCCGCCTTTGGGGCTGCGGGCAAGCGGGCAGCGTTTGCCACCGTTATTTATCGCCCGTCGGGGAGGAGGGGGCAAAGTTGAATGTTCTGTGCTTGTTACGTGGCTGTCCCAGCAGCTTGCAGGGACAGCTCATCCTAATGGGTTCCCCTTTTATCCCTAAAAGCACGTACTAGGCACAGGCCAATCTGCCTCCCGCTGGCAGCGGCGAATTTGGTTGTTGAGGAGGAGAAAAGAAGGTGAGTGCAATGTTAACGATGTTGCCAGCCAGGAGTTAGTAGGTCAAGAAGCTTTTGTTCAGCCCGTGCTGGCGGCGTGCTCAGCGCCGTACGAAACGAGAGGAAAGAAGCTGTCCTGGTCCCACGGGTTTGCAATTGAAGTGGGACCAGACAGTTCGGCCCTGGCGCCGGCGGCTGTCGTGGTGCCCTGGTTACAGCTTGACAGCGCTCGGTTTGAAGGGACGAGGTCTGGTGGCAAAGGGCTGCTCGGGGCTGAAGGGAGGGGGAGGAGAGGCCGAGGAGGGTGGGAATAGGGGGAGATGGCTCAGGATCAGGCCCTGGGGGCTGTTCCCATCGTTCCTCGCCAGCATCCGTGTCCCGAGGGCTCGGATGGAGGAGCCCGGGGGAGCTGGGGCTGGGGCGGTTTGAAGGCAGCCGCGGATCCCCGTGAGAATCCCCCCGTTTCCCCCCGGGGCGGTACGGCCTTTGCTCGTGGCGGTCACGGCTCTGCAGGAGGCCCCTGGCAGGGCTGGACATGCCCCGGGACAGCGCGGGAGCCATTCCCAGGGCCTTTGCTCTTGACTACGAGAGACGGCAGGTTTAGCAGCCCCTCTCCATGAATCCCACTGCAGCTCCGGTTCCTTCAAAGAACCCGCGAGGAGCCAGTGGGAATTTCTCTCCTGGACGGGCGAGGTGGAGCTGATGCCTTTTCAAGCCTTTCCTGTCCCCTGGCATCCGAAGGACTTGCAAACACAGCTGTGTTTGGGAAGTAAAAACCTTCCACATCTCGATGTTGTCTTGATTTTGATTCAAGCGAGGGAAGGGCTTGGGCTGGGCTATTTTATCTTTTGTTTTCAAAGTTTTTGGCAAAAAAAAAAAAAAGGCGCTGGCTGTTTTTCATCCAAATACCACTGCAGGGAGAGGGGGCAGGGAGGGAGAAGCAGCATGGCTTATTGCACGTAAAAACGCTGACAATGTCAGGGAGCCGTCCTGGGAAAAATATCTCTTTCTTGAAAGGAGAAAGGGGGAAAACCAGCAAGCTTTAAGGGTTTTTTTGTTGTTGTTGTCATTAAGTAAGACAGGAGAGGTTTTTGCAGCTTCTGACAATGCAAATGCATCCCCCCTCACTGTGGAGGGGGTTTGCATCAGTCTTTATGGAAGGCAAGTTTGAGGCTGACACAGTTCATTGCTTGGAGTTTCCACGCAGACCAGCATCCCTGGGACAGTCCTCCGTCCCCGGGGCCACCGGGGCGCTGTGAAACGGGGCTCCATTTCCTGCGGCTCCGCAAC